TGAGTGCGGTTTTCGAACAAAAAAGGGCCGAACCAAAAGTTAAGCATTGAGAAGTTCCTCATGTGTGCAGCACAAACAAAACAGTTGATCTACGAAAGGAACTCATGGTTCAAATGGTGCGGGCTGGTGCAAGCTGTGATAGACATTGGATCCCGATCCATCTCCATGGCCTGTGGCAGCAATAATGGTGCTTCGAGAAGTAGATGCCATCCTAAGCAGCGCTGAATAATCATAGAGTCCTAACAGAAAAATCCGAATGGAAATAGCCTCCGATCATCAAGCATAGCAATGGAAAAAATATCATGCTTGATTCGCGGGGGAACCAACATGTGTGTGGCCGGAATGAAATCATTGCATGGCTGTTTCCACCCTTCCCATGTTGCCCACCTGGATTCGCTGCACAATCAAGTCACAATCAAAACCCTGCAGCTGAGAGTCGCTAACCTTCTAAAAAGGTCGGAAAGGAAACTGGCCAAAAATGCAAGTTGCTTCACCTGCACAGCCCTAAACAACAATAAGACCTGACAAAGATTGAGCCGAAAAAACCAATGGAATTTGTCCCTTGCAAACCATCTTGGATAACCAGGAGTGAAGTGCGCATGGTGCTCTGAAGAAACACTAAACAAAATAGTACCTGCATTGCGAACGGGAAAAAATATTTCGAATTTGGCAAAACCCCAAGATTTGACCTGTACCGGTACCCTTTTTGTGTGTAAATGGCTGACATTATTTCCCTCTTCACATGGCGCACAAACCTGTCATGTTCTTTTAACTATGAACCCCAACAAATCCAACCCAAGTACGACGCAAAGGAGCGCTGAATTTGCAATACAATGAACACACAATTTTGGGAAAAATACTCTAACCAAATTTGATCCAACTTGTGGTTGAAAGCGCAATGCGTGAAAAACACCGGCCTGGAAATACTGCAACAAATTGCCTTTCTTTTCAAAAAAAAATCACAGCAAATCGTAAGGATTGTTTAATGATGTTTCACATGTTCATAGGTTCCATTCCACTGTTCCTCAGGAAACTGTTTGAAAACTACTTTGTCCATCTATATATATATATAACCATGATAGCATACATAGAATATGCCCGATTTCAACCCTGCGGGTGTGGACAGAAAAAAAAATACTTTGAATATTTGGGGTAGAAATATTTGGGGTAGAATTTTGGAGTGCATAAACAGCGCTAAAGCAAATACCATAGGAATAACGATATTCCCATATCGAAAACATGTGTGAAACCCAGCAGATTGCACATTTTTGGGGGTTTTGGGTAAGTTTTGGTTACTGCTTCCTTCATGCCCACGCACCTCTCGGGTAGCCAAGCGACGAACGACAAGTTTTTGACTACACTTTGGTCAATTTCTTTTTATATTGTATTTAAAAAATGAGTTTTTCAAGCTCACCGAAGGGTACCTACCCCCCACGACCGGTGTCGGAGAACTATGAAAAAAAACAATTTTGCAATGAAAACCAATGGAAATAATTAGGTGGTGTTCCGGAAAAAATGATGAATATTTTCACGGGGGACCTATATTCTATGTATGTAGTTCTGCAAGGAATTGGGTCTCTTTCATGTATAAGGCTATATATCATATACGTAATTCCCTTTGGGGAGTAGCAACCCTGGATGTCTGAAGTTCCTAAACTAGAACGTTCTAACAAAAAAAACCAGGGCCCCCGAAATGACCAATTTCTTTTTATATTGTATTAAAAAAAATAGTTTTTCAAACTCACCGAAGGGTATCCCCATGACCGGTGTCGGAGAACTATGAAAAAAACAATTTTGCAATGAAAACCAATGGAATTGGGTGGTGTTCCGGAAAAAATTGCTGAATATTTTTCACTGGGGACCTATATTCTATGTTGTAGTTCTAAAGGGAAATGCGTCTCTTCCATGTATAAGGGTATATATTATATACGTGATTCCCTTTGTGGGGTAGCAACCCTGGATGTCTGAAGTTCCTAAACTAGAACGTTCTAACAAAAAAACCAGGGCCCCCGAAATGACCAATTTCTTTTTATATTGTATTTAAAAAAATAGTTTTTCAAACTCACCGAAGGGTATCCCCATGACCGGTGTCGGAGAACTATGAAAAAATCAATTTTGCAATGAAAACCAATGGAATTGGGTGGTGTTCCGGAAAAAATGGCTGAATATTTTTCACTGGGGACCTATATTCTATGTTGTAGTTCTAAAGGGAAATGCGTCTCTTCCATGTATAAGGGTATATATTATATACGTAATTGCGTTTGGGGAGTAGCAACCCTGGATGTCTGAAGTTCCTAAACTAGAACGTTCTAACAAAAAAACAGGGCCCCCAAAATGATCAATTTCTTTTTATATTGTATTTAAAAAAATGAATTTGTCAAGCTCACCGAAGGGTACCCCCCACCACCGGTCGTGGTGGGTACCCTTCGGTGAGCTTGACAAATTCATTTTTTTAAATACAATATAAAAAGAAATTGATCATTTCGGGGGCCCTGGTTTTTTTTGTTAGAACGTTCTAGTTTAGGAACTTCAGACATCCAGGGTTGCTACTCCCCAAAGGCAATTACATATATATATATATATGATATATGCCCTTATACATGAAGGAGACCCAATTCCTTGCAGAACTACATACATAGAATATAGGTCCCCAGTGAAAAATATTAATCCATTTTTTGAGGAACACCACCTAATTCCATTGGTTTTCATTACAAAATTGTTTTTTTTCATAGTTCTCCGACACCGGTCGTGGGGGGTACCCTTCAGTGAGCTTGAAAAACTCATTTTTTAAATACAATATAAAAAGAAATTGATCATTTCGGGGGCCCTGGTTTTTTTGTTAGAACGTTCTAGTTTAGGAACTTCAGACATCCAGGGTTGCTACTCCTCAAAGGCAATTACATATATATATAATATATATTTTATGTGCCCTTATTGGAAGAGACGCAATTCCTTGCAGAACTACATACATAGAATATAGGTCCCCAGTGAAAAATGTTCATCCATTTTTTCCGGAACACCACCTAATTCCATTGGTTTTCATTGCAAAACTGATGTTTTTCATAGTTCTCCGACACCGGTCATGGGGGGTACCCTTCGGTGAGCTTGAAAAACTCATTTTTTAAATACAATATATAAAAAGAAATTGATCATTTCGGGGGACCTGGTGTTTTTTGTTGAAATGTTCTAGTTGAGGAACTTGAGACATCCAGGGTTGCTACCCCACAAAGGGAATTACGTATATGATATATACCCTTATACATGAAAGAGGCCCAATTCCTTGCAGAACTACATACATAGAATATAGGTCCCCCGTGAAAATATTCATCATTTTTCTTGAGGAACAACACCCAATTCTATTGGTTTTCATTGCAAAATTGTTTTTTTTCATAGTTCTCCGACACCGGTCGTGGGGGGTAGGTACCCTTCGGTGAGCTTGAAAAACTCATTTTTCCCGAGAGCAGGGTTCTTCCAATAGTGGGGGTCTGTATCTCATCTTCACACCTTCTCATCTTCACACCTTCTCATCTTCACATCTTCTCATCTTCACATCTGCTCATCTTCACATCTTCTCATCTTCACATCTGCTCATCTTCACATCTTCTCATCTTCACATCTGCTCATCTTCACATCTTCTCATCTTCACATCTGCTCATCTTCACATCTGCTCATCTTCACATCTTCTCATCTTCACATCTTCTCATCTTCAAATCTGCTCATCTTCTCATCTTCACATCTGCTCATCTTCACATCTTCTTATCTTCACATCTTCTCATCTTCACATCTGCTCATCTTCACGTCTGCTCATCTTCACATACTCACATCTTCTCTTTTTCTCTCTCTCGCACTCACATCTTCACATACTCACATCTTCTCTCTCTCTCTCTCCTCTTTCCTCTCTCCTTTCTCTCTCTCCTTTCTCTCTCTCCTTTCTCTCTCTCCTTTCTCTCTCCCTTTTCTCTCTCTCGCCTTCTTTATCTTTCTTTCTTTAGGCCGAGGGTGGTGCCCGCGGGGAGTCACGAAACGTCAACCCTTTCGCACGAAATGAGGGTCGATGCGCAAAAACTGAGGTAAAATTGCGATTTTACTTGTTTGGAAATGCTACCAAACCCTCGCGTTTTGCTGACTTTTGACGAGGTGCAGAATCCCTTGCGGATGCCACGCAAAACCACATCTGAACCAAACTTTCAAAAGTCGTCCGAGCATGTGGTGCTTTTAACATTTTGACTTGGAAACGTGCTTGCGCAACAACGGCGTGCACTTGTTCGACATGTCAACTTCCAAAAGTGGTCCGAGGGCTGACGTGCTTTGTACATTTTGACTTGGACATGTGCTTCGCGCCTAACAGCGTGCACTTTTTCGACATCTCAACTTCCAAAAATGGTCTGAGACCGTCAGTCTTTTACACTTTTGACTTCGAAATGTGCTTCGCGCCACAACGGCGTGCACTTTTGCGACATCTCAACTTCCAAAAGTGCTCCAAACCTGAGGTGTCTTTAGCTCTTTCACTTGCAAATGTGCTTCGCGCCACAACGGCGTGCAACTTGTCATCTCTCATCTGGCCAGACGGCTCCGCACCCGCCGCTTTAGCGAGCCTACTTGTCGACCCTCCGGAGCCACAAATCATTGGAAAAACACAGTGAATCGCGACTTTCCTACCTTTTCACGCACCTGCATCTTCTTTCTTCTCACTCTTTCTCTTCTCTGATCTTCTCTCTTCTGCTCTTCTCCCTCCTCTCTGACTCTTGCCACCTCTGCTTTTCCATCTGTCCATATTGTCGGAAGTTTGACTTCTAAACTTCCTTCGGTCAAAAGAAATAACTCGAAACTCCGCTCATTTTCACCTTTACACTTTACACCTACTGATGCCAAGACAGATCTGCAAGTCAGCCCTGGTATTTTTTTCAAGTCCAGATCTGCACAGGTTCATCTAGACTGATACCAGATCCCAGAAGGTTTCCAGGATCTCGAATTGTAGCTAGCAATGGCGTGCAAACAACTCAACGCAAAGGCGAAGCAGTGTAGTTGGCCCAGTCACCCCAGGCGCTTCCGGTCAAGCCATCCTGGCAACATGGACAAGCTGTGAATGGGCAAACCCGCATGGCCAAAGCATACATACATACCTACCTACCTACCTGCGTACCAACGTACGTCCGTACGTGCATGCATGTATGCAGTACATACATTACATACATTAAATACATTATATGGGTTACATACATTACAAACATCACATACATTACATACATACCATGCATACCACACATACCCTTACATGCCCTTGCATTACATACCCTTGCATTACATGCCCTTACATTACCTGAACTTACATTCCTACCCCTACATTACATAACCTTACATGACATACCCTTACTTGAAGTACCCTTACATGGCATACCACCGCATTACATACAATTACGCTACACATATGCACATGCATATGCATCTGGATTTACTGAACATTTACAATTTTATACATATACATTTGCTTTACATTTTCATACGCATTTACATTTACATATACATAAACAAATACAAATACAGACAAATATAAATTCATACATTCCATACACTCCATACAGTACATACATTTGACGCAGTCAATACATTACATTACATCAGATTGCATCTGGTGACACTACATTACATTGAACTTACATTTACATTTACACTTACATGTACATTACATTACATCCGTGCAAAAAGAACATGTATTACATACATTGCATGCATTACATACAGTACATACATTACATAGATGACATACAGTACATACATTGCATACATCACACACACGATGTGCATGACAAACATTGCATTCAATACGTACATTGCATACAATACATACTTTACATTCAATACATACTTTACATTCAATACATACATTGCACACAATACATACGTTACATTACATTGCATTTCATTACATTACATCACAGTACATTGCTTTACACCACGTTACATTTCGCCACATCACTTCACACTACATCACATTACACTACAGTACAGTACATCAAATACAATACATGCATTACAAAGCATAACATAGCATCACAAAACAAACAAAACATAACTTTGCAAAAACACAAAAACACAAAGAAAGAAACAAGCAAGCAAACAAACCAACTTACAACCATCCATCTGTCCATCCATGCATGCATACATATGTACGTACATACCGAAAAACATACACACATACACACATACACGCATACACGCATACAACATACACACATACAACATACACACATACACAGATACACCCAGACAGACAGAAAGACAGACAGACACAGACAGACAGACAGACAGCCAGCCAGCCAGCCAGGCAGGCAGGCAGGCAGAGACAGACAGACAGACAGACAGACAGACAGACAGACAGACAGACAGACAGACAGAGACAGACAGACAGACAGAGACAGACAGAGACAGACAGAGACAGACAGAGACAGACAGAGACAGACAGAGACAGACAGAGACAGACAGAGACAGACAGAGACAGACAGAGACAGACAGAGACAGACAGAGACAGACAGAGACAGAGACAGAGACAGACAGAGACAGAGACAGAGACAGACAGAGACAGACAGAGACAGACAGAGACAGACAGAGACAGACAGAGACAGACAGAGACAGACAGAGACAGACAGACAGACAGACAGACAGACAGACAGACAGACAGACAGACAGACAGACAGACAGACACAGACAGAGACAGAGACAGACAGACACAGACAGACACAGACAGACAGACAGACAGAGACAGACAGAGACAGACAGAGACAGACAGAGACAGACAGAGACAGACAGAGACAGACAGAGACAGACAGAGACAGACAGAGACAGACAGACAGAGACAGACAGAGACAGACAGAGACAGACAGAGACAGACAGAGACAGACAGAGACAGACAGAGACAGACAGAGACAGAAAGAGACAGACAGAGACAGACAGAGACAGACAGAGACAGACAGAGACAGACAGAGACAGACAGAGACAGACAGAGACAGACAGAGACAGACAGAGACAGACACAGACAGACACAGACAGACAGAGACAGACACAGACAGACAGAGACAGACGACACAGACAGACACAGACAGACACAGACAGACACAGACAGACACAGACAGACACAGACAGACACAGACAGACACAGACAGACACAGACAGACACAGACAGACACAGACAGACACAGACAGACACAGACAGACACAGACAGACACAGACAGACACAGACAGACACAGACAGACACAGACAGACACAGACAGACACAGACAGACAGACAGACAGACAGCCACAGACAGACAGCCAGACAGGCAGGCAGGCAGTCAAATTCACAATCTGATCATGTCACTATTCTTTCCAGGTACAGTCTACAACTCATCTTACTGGTAAGCGTGTGTAAATATACAAGTGACATAGCACTGTAGCATACTGTAGCGCAGTATGCTGAAACAATCTCAGACAATCAAAGAGGCGATGTGCACAAAATATGGCTGGCGAAAACAAACTTCAGAAACTCAGAACACACCAAGCAGAATCGCACAAAGTTGTGCTTCCTTATTCAGACTCTTTGTGGTGTCTCTTTTCTTGGTGAGTTAGAACAAACAATACGCTCACAGCACCTATGCCCGCCTGGAAAAACATGCCGATGATGGCCATCATCGCAAGTCTTCCGTTTGCAATTTCGGCATTGAGCTTCTTGGTTTTCTCAGCCGGGTCAGCCGCGGTCAACACCTTGAATCCAAAGTCTCCAGCATATGCATCAGTTCCTGGGGTCTGTTCCTGGGAGACTTCGCAAAAAGCCATGTAGGCCAAGATCTGACCCCATCCTCCAGGGTTGGCATATGGGCCTCTAAACTATGCCAACCCACATAAACCAGCAAAACACATCTTATAGTGTATGTCTAGGGAGCAGTACATCTATCGTGTATCCACAAAGATATCAACCAACTTTAACTTATGACATATAATATATATATATATAATATATATATACATACATATATATGTATATTTAAATGATATATTTGGATATATGTGGCTTTGATGTTCAGATGTAACCAGTTGTTTCAACCCTGTCCTGCAGCTGGGACCTTTGAGATGGCAGCCAAACCATTAGGCACATCGGCGAACTTCAAACCAGCTGATGGAGATAAGTAGCCAGGGAATTTGCCAGTGATCTCCTGGGGATTGTTTCATCGGGATGCATTCAAAAACAAACTGCCAGTAGATCCCGCAACTATATAGTGTAGTTGCAGACATGGAAACATTAACAAAAACATACGTTACTGAAACGATCTTAAACGCAGCTTCAGCAAATCCAAGTCACTGGGGTGATGTATCCCATGGTGGCCAACATCGAAATGCGACCATGCTTGATCTCGGTAGCACGACGTCGCTTGAAGTCCTCCACGCTTCCGTCGGCCGTGAAACCTGCGGGATCCCAGAAACCCACGGGCGCCTGCACGCCGAGTTCATTCTCGAAGGCGCGCAAAGGAGATGCTGTGTAGTTGGCCCAGTCTCCCCAGGCGCTTCCGGTCAGACCATCCTCTGGCATGGCAGTCATTGCAAGGATCAAAAGCACAGGGTGATAGTATCACGATATCATGAAATATCAACGTTTTCATAGATGTTTCTATTGATATCACAGTACCTATGTATATATAAACATATGTTCTTATTTATTTTTTGAATGGTGTGATACAACATGATGTGATATGAAATGGTGTGACATGCACTGCTTTTGTGCATACACATGTGGTCAATAAAACGAATATCACTCATCAAATCATATCAAATCTGCCATGTCTTTACACATGCTTCGACAGTATGATATCAAATTCACAATCTGATCATGTCACTACTCTTTCCAGGTACAGTCTACAACTCATCTTACTGGTAAGCGTGTGTAAATATACAAGTGACATAGCACTGTAGCATACTGTAGCGCAGTATGCTCAAACAATCTCAGACAATCAAACATGCGATGTGCACAAAATATGGTCACACAAAGTTGTGCTTCCTTATTCGGACTCTTTGTGGTGTTTCTTTTCTTGGTGAGTTAGAACAAACAATACGCTCACAGCACCTATGCCCGCCTGGAAAAACATGCCGATGATGGCCATCATCGCAAGTCTTCCGTTTGCAATTTCGGCATTGAGCTTCTTGGTTTTCTCAGCCGGGTCAGCCGCGGTCAACACCTTGAATCCAAAGTCTCCAGCATATGCATCAGTTCCTGGGGTCTGTTCCTGGGAGACTTCGCAGAAAGCCATGTAGGCCAAGATCTGACCCCATCCTCCAGGGTTGGCATATGGGCTTCTAAACTATGCCAACCCACATAAACCAGCAAAACACATCTTATAGTGTATGTCTAGTGAGCAGTATATCTATCGTGCATCCACAAACATCTCAACCAACTTCAACTTATG